TTTTGTCATGAAACTTACTACCCCAGTTTTCTTTTGGTTCAAATTTGCCTGGTTATATCTTTTACTCTCCCTTTTTTGGAAACTTTTCTGAATCCTTTTGTTTTATGTATCTCTTGTAAATGACACATTGCTGGATTTTGTTTCTTACCCAATCTGAGAATCTTCTCTGGCATTTTGTTTCCACCTCATTTGGGTGAACTTTCTGTAGTTTTCTTTATAGTTACTAATTGCTTAGAATACAATAATTACTATGTTCTAATCCAACCTTTACTTGCCTTGTCTGGTTGCTTCATCCTGAATTTACTTGTCTTCTTACTGTGTTACATTCTTTAGAACTTCTTTCAAATAATGTCTTTGTGTAGTGAATTTCCTGAAAGCTTGCATGCTGAGAATTTTTCTTCAATTTAAATAATAACTATTAGCAGTATCAAAATTACAGGTTCACAGTCCTTTTCCTTTAACACTTTGTCTTGGAAGTTCATATTCCATAGTTTATACTCCAGCAGTAGTGTTGAGACATTTGATGTCAGTGTTATTCTTCCTGTATGGAGAGGTATGCTTTTTCTTTCTGGAAGCTTTAGCCTTTGTTCTTGATCTATAGCAGTCTTAATTATCCTTATATTATGCTTTGCTGTGGATTTTCTCTGAACTATCCTGTTCACTACTCTTTGTACCCTTTCAGTCTAAGATTTTATATCTGGGAATTTTTTGTCATTATTTCTTCAAATATATTTTCTCTCCTATTTTGCCTTTGCTTTCATTCTAGGGTTCTCATATTATATAGATGTTGACACTTATATTCTTATCTCTTATTTGTTCTGTCTTTTCATCCCTTTCCTGTGCCTTCTGGGAGAGCTCCACCCAGTGTACCAGGTCATCAGCTTATTCTCTGTAGCTATTATGCTTTCAACTTGTCCTCGGAGTTCTTTATTTCAAACAACTGTATTTTTGAAATATATGTATTTTTAATATTTATTTATTTTTGAGAGGAAGCATGAGCAGGGCGTGGGCAGAGAAAGAGGGAGCGCAAAGATCTGAAATGGGCTCTGCGCTGACAGCAGAGAGCCCGACCCCGGGCTCAAACTCATGAACTGTGAGATTATGACCTGAGCCTAAGTCAGAGACTTAGCCTTAGACTGAGCTACCCAGGCACCCCCTCAAACTCCTGTATTTTTAGTACCCGCTATCTCATATTGATTCTTCTTCATAACTGTTTATTTTGGTATTCAGTTTCTAAAAACCTTTTATCTTTAAAGATGTTAGTATGCTTACAGTATACTCTTGCCCAGTTTGTTCTTTTTTCCTCTGGATGAGGTTGCTCATTTGTTGTTTTTTTTATTCCTGTGCTTATTCCCCTCAGAGGTCATACAGTTTACCTTATGGACTTCTCTTATTTCTTTGCAACAATCAGCTGCCTTGGCTAATAACTTTAGAGGGGTAAAATCTCAGATCTGACGTGTGCTTTTCTGGGATAATTTAAAAACTAGTGTGTGAAGCCTCTAGCATTGTACTCTGGCCTCTGTCAGCTACATTTTCCATAGTGTCCTCATACTCCTTCAAAACCAAAATAGAACAAACCAAAACAAAACAACCACACACCACACACGTACAAACAACTCTTAACACTACTTTCCCACACAACTGCTCACTGTTCCAGTTGGCCTTGCTCACTTGTGTGGAGTGGAGATAGAGTAGGGCCGGGTAGAACCTCTCAGGCACCTGAACTGGTTGCTGCTGATTCTCCATTCAACCTTGTCTTCGTGTTTAGATGTCAGATCCTTATTAGTTGAATACATACTCCGATGCAGGCACTGTATTGGGTGCTGGGATATAAAAATTTTACAGATGCAATCCATGTTCTCAGGGTGTCATTGGGACATTTTAGTGGTGTCAGTGGGAAAGTAAATAGGTATTAATAGTAAAGTGAGGTAAATTATGTGATGAGAACACATGGGAAGAGTTGATTAGTTTTTTTGTGAGGAAGGGAAAACGTTTCCTTGCCAGTATGGATTGAGTCCTTAGGGATATTTTGTTGCTGTTGTTTTGTTTTTGTTTTTAAGCTAGGTAAGGAAAGACTAGAAGAGGAGTATTTCAGGTGGAGAGAGCAAGTGGTTTAGTGGTAAGGGAAGCCAGGGTAATAATTTCTTATGGCTATTGCTGTCACAGTCTTTGTGATGTAGCTTTGGCAAGATGACAGAGGGAATAAGTGAACTAGAGTGGAGTAGGATATTGTGGCTTTTAAAAAGGGAATGACATGATCAAGCTTACATTTTAGGAAGATCTTGCTGTATTACGGAGAATGAATTGACATGGGGCAAGGTAGGAGCCATCGGGACCCATCAAGAGGCTTTTGCAGTAGCCTGGGAGAGAAAAGATGATGGCCTAAAATAAAGTAGGTACTCTGAGGATAGAAAGAAGTAGCTAAATCAAAATGGTAATTAAGGATGTTAGATGGCCAAGACTCTACTCTGTGGTTGATTACATTTGCTTACATTTGGTAGTGGAGGAAAGGGCATGTGTCAAGGATGATCCCTAGTTTTCATTCAGGTGTACTATTCAAAATGCCTATTTCCTAAATAAGAATCACTTGGAAATATAACAAAGCAATAGTCTAACCAAACTTTTTTTTTTTTTTTAAGTTTATTTATTTTGAGACAGAGAGAGAGAGAACAAGCAGAGGAGGGGGAGAGAGAGAGCAGGCTCTGTGCTGTCAGCATGGAGCTCGGCATGGGGCTCGATCCCACAAATGATGAGATCACGACCTGAGCCGAAATTAAGAGCTGGACGCTTAACCAACTGAGCCACCCAGGTGCCCCAAGAACAGTTTCTTATCCTTGATCCCAAAATGCAAATAGTTCAAAATACTGGGAGGTTTTCCCTGAGCTTGTAGCAAACTCAGTTGATAGCAAAACCAACCCTGAAATGAAGTTATTCCTAGTCTTTGTTTATCCCAATTTGGGTGGACATTCGTGTTTCTTTCACAATTATTTATGTGGACAACGATGAGATGCTGCTTCAAACCCTGCTGCCAGTGTTACATGACATACAGTATACTCTCTATACCTTATTACGTTTCTAAAATCCAGAACATTCTGATGAAGGATGTCTAGTCCCAGTGGTTTCATAGTAAATTATGGACTTGTACTTTGAATCTGAGCAGTTTTTGTTCCTTTTGTTGCCGTGTTATTTTCTAATAAGAACCATTACGTGACATTGTAGCCATGGGGACAAAATGAAGTAGATGCATGTCATATAGTGCAAACTTCAAGTTAGACTGCCAAGTGAAGGTACAAAACTGAGTAAAGTAGGCTTCTGTTTGGGTTAAAAAAAAAAACAGAAGAAGGATGCACGCGTGCACGCGCGCGCACACACACACACACCTAGAATATCGTTAGAAAGACAAAGAGCTAATATCTGATTAAGAACTGGGAGTCAGTGGTGGGAGGAAGACTTTATTGTTGTGCGTGCACACACATATTGCACTGTCAGATTTTTCACTATATGCATTATTTTTTTGTTTAAATTATAAGTTACAGTGACTGTATGAAAATGTCCTTATGAAAACATAAATATTTATTTGACTTCTAGTTCAAGTAAATGAATTAACTTGATAACAGTAAAGTTAAAAATAATTATTTATGTACGTATACAATTAAATATCTCTACAATGTATTTCTGTCATTTGTCATTAGGACTGCATCCAAAGAATGAGTTTCAGAAATCCTTACATTTTTAAGCGTTGAATATATAGTATTGATACGATTGCCAGAAGCAGAAAGTAGAGAAGAGAATGGCTAAAGAGGAGTCCTAATCAGTAGATGTTGTGATTTATTCTCAGTATGCCAGACTGGGCAGTGAGAGCAAAAGTTGGAAGCCATGAGTATAGTTTTCAGGCAGCAGATCTGAAGGGGAAAACGATAGGGAAATTTGGAAAGATTGTGTAGCAAGGCAAAGGAAACAGATAAGTATATTTTTGGCAGAGAAAATTGGAGATAGAAATAAGGAGAAGAAAAGTAAACTTGGGGCCCCTTTAGAGAAAGAAAGAGGTGTGAGGGAAAGATTAAACATCATGAATGCAATACTGTTGTTGGATGTTTCATAATTATTTTCTGCAATGTAGTATAAGTTATACTTTCATATTAAAAATACAAAGCTTGGTATTTATGATGGAATTAAAATGCTACTTGGTCTGAGTGAAGAAATTCTAAGTCCGTTTGTCACTAATAAACTAGTATAAACCAGAATCAAGGGAAAAAATCCAATTATTAGCCACATTTTACCAAATATATATTTAAATTATCTTTGTTACTTAGTTCCATCAGCAGTCCTTTTACAGTGAAAAGCAAGAAGTTAAATATTTAAAATATATCATGATATTTGATGTTTGTGTCTTATTTGATGAGATTTTGTTTTTTACTATTACAACAGGTCCTGATTTGTAGTCCACTAAGTTAATAAAATTAATGTCAGGGAAAAACTTGTTAATATTTAGTTACTTAGCTATATAGTCACAAACATATTCTTTATGTGTATATTTTTTTATATAAAAATGAAACCATTGGTGGATGGATATTTGGTAAAACAAAAAAAAGTAACATGTCAATTATAGAATCTAGGTGGTAGATAGAATCTGTATGAACATTTTGTAATAAATGTTGGAGAAAACAAATTCTAATGAAAGAGCTAATGTGAAATAAATAGATGTTTTGTGAATAGTAAAATAATAGTACACTTGAGTTCCTTTTGTTCTCTGCTTACTGAAAAATCTGAAACATTCTGTTAGTGGATTACCAGTTTTAGTGGTAATACTATTAGATGTAAATAAGTTATTTGTTTCCTTTTGATGGAAATTGTTTTGTCCTTCAAACCAGTGTTATTGTGAACATTAGTGAAGGTATATGAAAAAATCATAAGGTTTTATAAAACATATTTGAGGTAAATGTAAATTATAGCAGACAAGTGTTTAGCAACTATTTAGAACTTTTATTTTTCTATTTTAGGGAATCCGGAAACATCAAAGCTGGATTAGAACATCTGGTAAGTTCTAATTTTCTCTTGAACATTTGCATCATCTTTGATATCTGCATTCTAAATGAACACTTTTGAATGAGCTTTGAATACCTTGTATTGAGAAAGTCAACCATTTCCCAAAGGGTCAGCTTACTGTTATTATGTGAAGGCACTTACATTTTCATTTATCTTATCATTTCAAGGGAATTTAAAAATTTTTTAAATTACTTTTTTTTTTTTTTTGATGTAGAGATGAAATAAAATGGATGACAATCCTTGGATTGATGATTGCTTTAATTATAAACAAAAATGTTTGGTGTAGAATTTTTGGCATATCTTGATCTGACAAAAACAAGCTTGTGTTTTAAGAAAAACACAATCAAATATTGCATGCATAAATATGGTATGTTTTAGCAATTTAACGGCTTTGAAAGAAGGGCACAGCTTTGTTTTTCCTGATGTCTCTGCTTTATGAATAATGCATCGGTTTAAACTACATTCCGTTTTAGAATATAAAATAATTGAGATGCGGAATTTTTGGTTTAAGTAAACATTTTTAAAGTACAAATGAAATTCAGACTGACTTAACCTTAGAATCTGTCCATTGATCAAAAAATTAGAGAAACTGTTGTGTTATACCAGGTCCAAAATTCATTTAGCTCACTGCATTGAGTGTTCATTACAACATTAAGTAGTTCATTTAAACAGAGCATTATAAAGTCATGCTCTGGTTTCTGGTCAAATCCAAATGTTGAATAATTAATGATAGAGATTCTTTTGTAAATACAATCTAAGTACTTTTTTAATGCGAGACTTCATTCCTATATCATATTGTAGCTTTGTTAACTATTAATGTGCTTTTGTTTGCTCCCACTAAAACAAACAGTAGCAAGAGCCAGCTTCATTTTGACGTACAGTAGTTTTAGAGTTGGAAGGGTTTTTTTAGTTTTCCTTTCAACAGCTAAAGAAAACTGAGGAAAGCTAGACTTTAAAAAAAATGGTCTTAATAAGTACAGATTAATTATTAAGAAGCTATATGTAACAACCTTGTTTAGAATATTTCAACTATATGTTTGTCCAGATTAGTAGTAAGTAAATAACACTGTTATTATTTGAAATTATTTCCTGAATCCCAGTTTGTCACTTCATAGTGGCATATATATTTAGGAAATATGGACATTAGAATAAAAATGTTAATCTAAAACAAATTCCAGTATTGGTTGGGGGGCTTACAACAAGGAAAAACAGCTACCATTGTGCCAGAATGAGCTTTTATACTCACTTATAAATTGTTATTTATTGAAAAGACTTCATATTTCTTGTTTCATATGCCTCAGTAAATAATAATTAATTTTTTTAGTTTAAATTTTATATTTTTTTATATTTACTAGTATGAACTCATCTTCAGTGATTATTTCATGCATTTATACTCTACTTATAATCTTGTTCAGCACTGGTTTTCTAACAGCCTTGGGTTGCCAGGAAAGCTCCCCAAAGCAGGTGGCACTCCAGACTGCCACTGCCCACTTTAATCAGAATGGTTTCACTTTTAGTTATTTTGTACATTTTTAAATTTTTAAAATAAGATTTTATTTGAAGAAAGAGTTTTCCAACTAAAAACGCTTAAAACCTTTGATCAAACATAGCTACTTATTAAAGTCAGGAGTAATTATTAATTATTCTTGATCCTAAGTTATATTTCATTTTCATCTGGGTCATACACATCAAATATATTTCAAAGATAATGTATTTTAGGATAAGAGAGGCAGGATTAATACAACAGGTAGTGAAGTAGATAATTTTAATGCATTTATTTAGATTGTTCAAAAGACTCTATAGCTTGACATTGTAAAATTGACCCACTGAGTGGGAACTATTAACAATAGCATGAATATATTAACACGTAACATAATACTCTATATACACACACCTATATACATATCATACTGCCTTGTGCACTACTGTCCTGTAAAGTCAGTGATATTCTTCACAACTGCCTAGGACGGAAGTGAACTCAAGAATTTATTATTTGGGTGGCGTCCTGGTGGCTCAGTCGGTTAAGCATCCGACTTCAGCTCAGGTCATGATCTCGTGGTTCATGAGTTCGAGCCCCACATCGGGCTCTGTGCTGACAGCTCAAAGCCTGGAGCCTGCTTTGGATTCTCTCTCTCTCTCTCTCTCTCTCTCTCTCTCAAAAAATATAAACATTAAAAAAAAGAATTTATTATTTGAGCATTAATGAAACCTGTCTGTCTAGCAGCTATGGGCTCTGTAGGTTTGTGTCTCCTCAGTTTCCAGCTGAGAAGATACTTACAGCCCTTACCACCTAGCACTTGTAGCCCTTCTTTGAATTGGCTGTGTAGCTAAATACAATAGATTATGATCTTTAAAAGTATATGGTATAAAATTAAGAACATTCCACACAGGTGGTATTAATTTCTTTTTTATGTTTCCATAATTTTCTGTTTTTTTTAATTTATTTATATTATCATAGAGAATTAAAATTGCTCTAAGAGAGGGTAGAAGCAAGTATAAATTTAAGTAAGCTAAGAAAGGGGTCCTTGGCTGGCTCAGTCAGTGGAGCATTCAACTCTTGATCTTGGGTGTAGAGATTGCATTAAAATAAGGTCTTTTAAAAATAAAAAAATAAAAATAAATAAGCTAAGAAAAATGACATGCATCATATTATACTTGCCACAAGGACACATGCACGGTTGTACTACTATTTTATTCTGTGTTTATGGACTCTTCTTGTAACACTAGAAAGGAAAAGGTGTGGGGAGAGAAAAGAGTAGGGTAGGTGGACTGTATTGCCCTGGAATCTCTTCAAGGGCTGATCTCATTGATTTGTCACAATCTCTCAAACTCTCAATTCAGCCTTTGTTCTATCATTTCTTTTTTCCTGTGTTGCTACCTTCTCCTGGGAACTGTCCAGCATGTCATTCTTTGCTTAAATTTTTTACTATATTGCCCAATCCTATTTTATTTTTCTTTTCACAAACTTGTCTGCTACTCATAAAGCCTGTGTGTGTTGAAAGTTCTAGACAGGGTCTTTGAAGGTCAGTGCCTCATCATCCATTGGCGATTTTTGCCTGATGATTGTAAAATGGAGATTTTCTACCACTGCCTCCCATATTTAGCAGTCAGCATTCGACTTTAAGGAAGAGCCCACCTGTATTTCTTGTTTTCTCTATTTATTGTGAACAAGGACTCTTGGATATTTATTTTATTAAATAGGTTATTTTAAAAAAATTTTTTTTTAATTTTACTTATTCTTTGAGAGAGAGACACAGACAGAGACAGAGCGTGAGCAGGGGAGGGGCAGAGAGGGAGACACAGAATCCATAGCAGGCTCCAGGCTCCAAGCTGTCAGCACAGAGCCCGACACGGGACTCAAATCCACGAACAGTGAGATCATGACCTGAGCCAAAGTCAGATACTCAACCGACTGAGCCACCCAGGAGCCCCTTATTAAATAGGTTATTATCCATTACTTTTCTTATTTATTTTGATGCTTCTTGTCCCAGATTTGTCCAGGGAGTATCCTTTCAAGATGGCTTTTGGATCGTTTCTACATACCCCATCTTTTTTAAAAAACACTTCTTTATTTTCTGGCACAAGATGTTCCAGGCTCATTTGAAACCTTCCCTGTCCTACTCATGGAATCAGCTATTTCTTCAAATTACCCTATTTCATTTAGAGGGAAATGGTATTTATGAATCAAGGTCTGGACATGTGATATGTCCACTGTCTCTGGGATTTCATTACTTCTTGGACTTTTTAGTCATAGATTAAATAGATAGGTGGGTGGGTAGGTAGGTAGGTTGATATTTGGGACTTAGATGCTTAGATAGGTATTTTTTTTAAGTTTATTTTACATTTATTTTGAGAGAGAAAGAGAGAGAGAGTATGCAAGTGGGGGAGGGGCAGAGAGAGAGGGAGGGAGAGAATCCCAAGCTGACTCCACACTATCAGCGCAGAACCCAAGGTGGGAGTCAATCTCACGAACTGTGAGATCATGACCTGAGCCAAAACCAAGAGTTGGACCCTTAACCGACTGAGCCACCCAGGTGCTCTGAGAGGTAGGTAATTTGAAGAAATTATGAGTCCGACTAACATCTCCAATTTCAATCCAAACCACAGAATTCTTCCTTGTTGTTCCTCATTTCACATTTGTATTTCCCTTTATTCACAGTGAGAACTGTGACTCCTAACAACACCAATACATTTACCCATTTGCTCAATTATGTAATACATTCAAAATAGTTTTGAAATTGCTACAATCATATCTTATGAAAGTTAAAACTTCATAGAGTTCAAGATTTGTTTCAAGAGTTTATTACAGTTTATTTCAAGTTTATTCAAGAGTTCTTTTCCTCCTTGAGTGTAGTTAGGTAATTCATTTGAAATATGATTGCATGCATATGTTTCTGTTTGTATTCAATTTTAGGTGCCTTTGTCCCCATTCTTGTTGATTTAACTGTATGGTTGGATATGTTAACATGCTTCCAAAATTCAAAATATTATACTAAGTCAAAATACTATACATAATACATCTCTCAGAAAGCTGTCATCCTCTTTCTTTCTAGCTTGTTCTCTTCTGTCCTTTATAGATGGCCAATTTTATTAACCTCTGATTTATTCTTCTTATGCATCTTCTTGTGAAATAAAGCATATATGTACATATATGTATATGTGTGTATTATTCCTATTTCCTCTGTCTTACAAAATGTAGCACATTTTTTTTTTGTACTTTGCTTTTTTTTTTTTTTTTTCTCTGTCTTGGAAATCACTCCCTAATTACTGTGGGTATCATTATATTTACTATGTTTCTTTTTCTCTTTGTGTCTTCTTTATTAAGGGTATGAAATTTTAGCCTACTTATATGCCTGCCACACTTTAATAGATGCTGGCAGAGGACATGAGATTTCTGGGTCAGAGACACAGCTCTTGTATTACTAACAGCACCAAAGGTAACACATAATACATGGTTATATAGGTTCCCTTTGACATACAAGTACCAAGGG